CGTGGACTATGATTTGTGAGAATCGGTTGGGATGGGTAAGTACGGGTGTAATGTTTTATAGATATCTAAGTTATGGGATATATTTATATTGTTTGGTAACAATTGATTTTTCAGGTTTGATAATTATAAATTATTATCATAGTAATATTGCGGAATTGAAAATCTTATGTATCTCACCAGGTTTCCTAACCTGACACACTCAAATTATATGCATCACAAGTAACAGGGTTAAAGCTGCTGGAACTTGATTTGGGTGCCGAGTGATTAAGAGACAACCTGGATAAGTTTTCAGCACCTTAGGTCTTTACGATGTAACTTATGTTGTGTATTGATTATGACATCCTAGAGTTTTTTGTATTTTCAAACAACATCTTTATTCAAATATATTTTTAATAAAACAAAATAGTTTTCGCAAAATGTTTTATTATACTAGGATTTTACGCAAACAAAGATGATATAATTTTGGAAGCGTAAAGAAAATTTTTTCTGGTTATGAAAAATAGGGGATGTCGCAGCACATTTCCAAAAAAAAGTTTGTCAAATCTTTTTTTGGACCATTAATATCTCTTAGACGCAACTATAGGAGTCCAATGGTGGTTTTGATTTTGAAAAATAATGAACGAATTAGGAGTTCTCGAGTTCTCCTAAATCTTTAAGTTCTCAAAAGAACTTACCCCTCTGTGTGTGTGTCTATATATATATACATATATATATATATATATATATATATATATATATATATACACACAGAGAGAGAGAGAGAGAGACACACACACACATACAGAGAGAAAGAGAGAGAAAGAGAGAGAGAGAGAGAGAGAGAGACAACTTCATATGTTCTCTACATGTATTGTGTGTATGTAGGAACCAAGGTTCTAAATAACGTAAGGCGTGACTTGGCGGCAATGTCAAGCCTCAAGCTTTTCCGAGCCTTGGCGAGTCATGACGTTTGTAAGGCGTGACTTAAGGCGGCAATCTTCTATATAATTAACATTTTTATATGTATTTTCAACCATTATTCATTTTTATACATATATATGAGTTAAGGCGGCGTTTTAGCAAAGCTTGGCGGCAAGTGCAAGCCTTGAAGCCGTGGCGCGCCAAGGCGGAGCCATGGCGAGCTTTTTAGAACCTTAACCAATCATAAGTTGACAATAAATAAATCATTAATTAAATAATTAAGGGTAAGTTATTAATTTCATTTAAAGATGAAATAATTTCCAAAATTAATTTCCTATAATCCTACTATTACATTGACTTTCTTTAACCCTAGCTTTCTCCCATTCTTTATATCTAAAAACCATCGACCATAAAAAACGCAGTCCCACCCTTCTTCCATGATGACAATCACCTCTTGTCGTGATAAAAAAAGAGTGACGTGGACGGAGCTGCTCCTTTTTCGACAATGATGGTGTCGCAGCCTAGGAAGAAACACCTACCCCTTTCCCATCTTCAAAACCCTATGCCAACATTAATCATTTGCATTTGGTTGTGAGACCTCTAACAAGTTCGAATCGACATCTCCAATCAGTTTACAGACACATATGATACCTCACTTCACGTCATCCTTCACCTCCATAATCTTATACCATCGTTATCTCCAATCATTTAAAAAATGTCTTTTACAATTTCCTTTGACATGCAACCTATGCTTCCCGTGAGCAGCGACATAATGAGGAAAAAGGGGTGAAATCACATGTTGTTTAATCCAAGCAACACACAACTTTCTCTGTTATATTATTTGAACCAGGTAATTGTTATTTTAATTGTCTTTGATTTTTTATTCGACTTTGTCTTTAACAGCTACAATTTAAAGTTTCAATTTTTTTTGGAATTCAATTTTGGTGTGTCAAAAAATACTCACTTCACTATTTTTTTCAATCATTTAGGGCACCAAGAAGTTGTTTTGCTAGTCAATTTGGTTATACGTGAAACGATGGGTTAATTGTTGACCTGGTAGATGCAATTAAAGTTATAATTATGCAATACCTGGTTTTGTACTCTATATGCTTGATTATATGCCATACTTGATTCCAAAAACTACCAATGCTTGTTTTTTTTTCTCTATTTTTTCTTTCAGCTCATTCAAAACAACAAAAAATAAGTAATTTTACATAACCATATTAACTTTGCCCATCTTCTTGAATAACTTTTCAAAACCACTATTTTTTTTAGAGTGGTTGATTTCTTTAGTTCATGATTTTGCTATTTATGATCTTGATTTTTAGGGCAAATCTAACAAAAAAGTATATTTTCAAGGTAATATATTTTTCCATTTCGTCCATATAATACATAGTTGTTTGATTACAAGTGAAATGCATTATTTATTCTTGATTTCAATGTCCTTATTTATCAATGTATTTTGATTGAATACTAATTTTCCAAAAAAATCAAATACATAATAATGTATTATGTAAGAATGCATTACACTTGCTTTCAATGTCCTTATTACGCTTCAAATAAGTTATTTATTCTTGATTTCAATTTCCTTATCTGTTAATGTATTTTGACAGAATATAAATTTTCCTGGAAAAACAAATACACAATATAGTGTATTCTGTAAGAATACATTATGCCTTGTATAGTGTATTATGTTAGAATCCACTCAGTTAGAATTTAAAATGATAATTGAACTTTTAGGTTTAATGATTCTTTAAGAATATTTGTTATAAAATTTATAATATGTATTATGGATAATTGTATGATGCTATTTTGGTTTAATCAAATGGTTTTGCTTAACTGGCCGGTAATACTTTTTTAAGAATATTATTGTTGTATTCTGATAGAATTTTAGTTAATTATTTATATGTTTAATGTGCAATTGTACTCAACTACTCATGTATCACCACAAAATATTTGGCAATGCATTTGTAATTAGAATGACTTGAAGAATGGCTTGAAGACATGATAGGAATGACTTGAAGAATGAATCAAAGATTGATCACACTCACATTTTAGAATGTAGTTCTTTTTAAGAATTACACTTGTTATTCTCTCAAGATGTTGCTATTATTCAAGAATGTTTTTTTGTATAACAATCATACAATGTAATCATTTGATATATTATTAGTTCAAGAATCGATTTTATGTATTCTTTCATAATTTACTTATTGATGTTTTATTTTTATTTGTGTCTTCTTAAAGGATGTTATAAACTGTCATTCTAACAGAATCTCAATCTGACATAATAAAATAAGTTATAATCGGTTATGATTACAAATTAAATTAGAATTCAAATTGACTAAATTTATATTAAAAAAATCAGAATTATCCCTTAAAATTCGAAAATTTCCTTTTTTGAATATAGTTAATTGTCTAAAATACCCTTATAATTAAATTTTAGTGATATATGGTACATAATATTTCATTTTAATATCATAGACCCTCAAAATCATAGTCATTCATTATTTTTATCCATTGGTCAATAATTGTCCTTACATACACACAATAGTTACCTAGAATGTAATGATCTAACCCTACACACACATATATATATATATATATATATATATATATATATATATATATATATATATATATATATATATATATATATAAAGGTAGGTTATATTGAGATTGAGAACGCAAGAACGAATTATAACCTTTTAAATATTTAGATCTAGGGTTATTATTAAATGAATCGTTTATGTAAATTATAAAAACTAATGGGATTAATATGTAACTTCTAAATAGACTTAAGGGTATTATAGTTATTCAAAATAATTTAATTTAATGACATCTGCTAGAAATAAGCAAATGATAGTTGTAATCTCTCTTTCTCTCCCACTATTTAACGTACCCATTAAAACACAAACCCTAAATCTATCAATAGCTACCATCTTTGCCATTGTACCTCTTCAGTAACCGTATTACCACCACCATTTCTAATCGTGGTGTTAATCAGATTCATCCACATAGACAACATCTACACCTTCATCGTTAGCCGTCATTCCGTGTTCACCATCGCCACAAAAAATCAAGACCGAAAGACCAATTCATACACAGACAACTTCCATACCTTTCATTGTCACCACCATCGAAACTCGGTCACCACCGGCTACATCATATTCACCTTCACACAGTGCCATCTTCACTTAAAACCACCATTTACCCTATTTACAACTTGCACATCAGCAGGAAGATTTGCAATTTTTATCCATAGATGGAATGGATGTGAAGGTGTTATGTGAGAAAACGGTGTTGTGTTCAATGTGAAGGATCATGGACCTTGTATATCTCCGGTTAGTTTATAACATGTGGAAACCATGGCTACAAAAATAATTAAACTTTATGGTAAAAATTTATAATTATTAATCTTTGAATAAATCATTTTAAATAAATTATGAATCAAGAGATATACCAAAATTTTAAAGTTATTATAACTACAAATTTAACATACAATTAAAAAAGTAAATCTGAATTTTGAAATGATTTGCCTAATATATCTCTCTGACACATAACATGATATTAATGAAAAGTTGTGTTAGAATGTCACTTGGCAAAAGAACATTAGAGTTATTTTTTTCTTTTTCTCACACATTTCTATTCATATCACTATCACAAGATATCTATGTCAAGTAATTGCTTCTTACTTAATTGATACTTGTTTTTTTTAATGGCTCATTGTGTTTTAGTCGATCGAAGTCATCATGTGCTCAAAATAGGATTTGCTAATTTTTTTTCCCTAATTGTAAAGGCATATATCAATGATTGATAAATTGTAATTAAAGTATTCATATTTATTTAGTCAGGTAAATGCTTATTACTTAATTGATAAATGTTTTTTATTTTAACTAGGAGCGTTTCCCCCGCATTGCGGGGTTTAGAAGTTGTCGCTTTTGTTTGAAACTAAAGTACATTCCCAGAATTGGTAACCACAATAGAGTATTTTGCTATTCGCTTGTCGGATTATCTATTGCACTTTTGATTTGTTATGTCTTGGGATTCATCCATATTATTAATAGTAAACCATCAATCACGTAAAAAATGTAACAGATGGATCAGAGGCTGCTTTTAATCCAATCACAGTGAACTCTATCACAAAAATCCTTTCCAGAATTTGTAGGGAATGAAAACTTAAAATAAAATCCGACCAGATTGATGCTATAGCTAAAGCAAGTGGAAAAATTAGATTCAAGGGGTGTGGTTCCTTTAAAATTGTTCCCTGCATATTTTGAGTAAAGAACGGTGTTTCCTTCATCATCTAAAGGACCAGGTCCTACTGCAATCAAGCTTACATTAAGCATCATTAGACGCAAAAGAAAAAAATTAATAAATTTTTAAGATTTGATTAAATGTGACAGGTGTCACTCACTGTGCCAATAGAGGGTTTTTCTTTGCTTGCTTGTGTAAGCAATACGCCGTGTCGTTTCCTCGGCTTCCTCGCCCTTTTATACAAAGTAGAAGATCAAATTAAGAGGATTTTATGGTCATATTTATGGATACCTACCCAAAATACCCCTTAAGAGTTCTATGAATCAAGAGTACAAGGGTTACTAACCTTGATAGGGACTCTGTCATCAAGAGATTTCAAATCCGTAACATCTTCTATTTCAAGAATACCAACAATGTCATCTTCCTTCAGTATGAGATGGTTTGACCCATTAAACTCAACTTCAGTCCCTGCATACTTGGAGTATACAACTGGGTACCAGTCTTCAAAATAATTATACAAATAGTCATTTAAAATTATCACACTGAAATAATCCACTACATACATTTAAATCTTAAGTTCTTTTAACATTAACAAAATAGTTAATTACCTTGACACCAATTTACACCTTGTTTCGCCGAATTGTCATGCCTTCTTCAACTGCAACAACATCACCACCTTGAGGCTTTGTTTGTGCAGTGGATGGGAGTAATATACCACCTGCACTTTTCAGCACCCTTGATTTTAACCAACACTCTGTCACCCAATGGCTTCAATGAAGCGTACTGCAGGATGAAATGAAAGAGAACTTGTACCAGAATATTTTTTTGGGATTGAATTGAATCTGTCAGAATTATTGTAATATGAAGGAATCATAATTTGTCATGTGTTTGGATGGCATGAAATGTAAGGACGAAAAAGAATTCCTTCTACACTCCCTACCCATTACGAAACCCACGAAACATGAAATTTGAAGGATTCCCATGTAATTAGACTTCTGTCCATTTGGGAACCAAACACAACCTGGAACTGAAAACGGTGTGTTGGGGATGAGGCAGTAAAAAGATTAAACAAACCAAACAACCAGATAATCTATAAACAATTAGCTTGCATAACTTAAATTGGTTGAAGATTCAACCTAGCCGCTTCCTTTTCCCTTTAACTCTATCACCTGTCCTTCTTGGCAAAAATTTCTCCCCAAAAGTTCATCTATACGAAGGCAATTGGCCGACCATCCAGCTCAGTTGGAAGTAGAGAAGCCAACGTCTAAAAATTTTAAACACCCAAAAGCAATTCAACTGGTGAAATTGAAACAAATTTTTTTTTTTTTTGTGAAATTGAAAACGAAACGCGAAATCGGAGATGAATGGTTTCCCATCTGAATGCTTATTGCATTCAATACATCAGCAATAAGCAAGATGTCAGCTAAAAACTAAAAACAAAAAACAAAACACATACATGCTGTGGAGACGGCCGGATATGGAGATGGGGACGGTGGCCACTGGGGAAAAAAATTAGCCGGTCCGCCGCCTTTCTTGCAAGACTCATGGTTTTCTTCTCCATCAGACTGTCGCGAGAAGGGGAAAGTGGAAGTAGTTGGTGGCACATCCGTCATCTGGAAAGCTTCATATACAATCGACGACAATTGTTGAAAGATCGGTGGAGAGGCATATCTGAGTAGACATCGGTGGAGAACAGGCAGATCGGGTACTGTTCATAAGGGTGAGCAAGCGGTAAAGGGAAAGGAACGAAAAAGAAAGCAGAGGCGGTGAAAGGGACGGTGAGAAGCGGTGGGCAATAACCTTGGTAGTGGACCGTAACTTTTATTTTACCGAAACCACTGTTCCTAAGGGGACATAGTTTTAATATAATACTCTCTCGGTCTCAAAATTATTGTGTACAGACAAAAAAACCACACATATTAAGAAAATCATTAATTACCACAAATTTTATTTAATAAAATGACAGTTTTGTCATTACTTTACATTTAATATTTTATTAAATGCTTAGTTGGTTAAATAATAATGACGAGGTATTTTGGTAAACATGTTATTTGTTTTTAGAAGTGGACTATTATTTTGGGACAAACCAAAAAGGAAAGATAGACAATAATTTTGGGACGGAGGGAGTATATAATTATATATATATATATATATATATAATATATATATATATATATATATATATATATATATATATTAAAGTTATGGAAGAAAAGAATAGTAAAGTTGAGATACTTTGTCCAGGTTTGGTCCCTTGATTTACATACCCGGTCCCTGTACTTCTTTAACTAATTTATTCATGTCCTTTTGTTTGTGTTCCATTCAACTTCCCATTTTTTTGGTAGAATTGGTCCCTGTATTATTGTTGGAAGTTAGGAATACTAATTTTGGATTTTTTTGGTAACTTTGCTTATTATTCTTTACCCATTTTGACACTTTTGGTCCTTGCAATCAATATTTTTACACTTTTTTGGAACCTTTTAATATTTAAAGTTTGACCACAAAACTTTAACGGTTTGACAACTTTGATCCCTTTTCTAAAAAGTTGCTAATTCTTATCCCTTTAATTCTTTAGCCATTTTCACACTTCTGGTCCTTATAGTCAAAACTTTTACATTTTTTGTCCGGGGCAAAGCCCGGACTTTTCATCCTTGCACTTTCTATGTCTGTCATATTTATCAATTCGGAAACAACATTGAAAGCTTCTGGCCCCCGCGTAGCGGGGGTAACCTTTCTAGTTACTCATTATGTTTTATTCGATTGAAGGCGTCAGGTGTAGGTTTTGCTAATTGTTTTCTTCTAATTATGGCTAATGCTATAAGTACCCTTTTTTTCCAAGAGAAATTAAATACCCTCCTACTTTTTATTCATACAAATCTTTCTACCCAATTAAATAGTGACATGCGTAATACAAACTTTGCTTTTGTTCCATTTTATATAGTCGTTCGAATTTTATAACGTTGTCCGAATTTATAATATTGTCCGAATTTTAAAATGTTGTCCGAATTTTATATGGTTATCGAAATTTATAATAATAATAATAATAATAATAATAATAATAACGACAACAAAATTAAAATAAAAAAAAAAAAAAAAAAAAGGGAAAGAAACAAAAAAAACAAAAAAGGGAAAGAAACAAAAAAATGATGTCAAATCAAATATAAATGATTGATTAGATTGATGTTGGGGGTAAAATTGGTTAAGAGAGGTACTTATAGCACAAACCCTAATTATTAGCTCCTTTATCGTGTTATGAAACAATTTATGTTGTTCAGACAATTGTAAAGCCAGTAAATCAATGATTGGTAAATTGTCATCAGAGTATTCATATTTGTTTGGTTATTGCTATTCGTTAAAGATCATACTTTGTACCATTACAAGTTCACGTTGATAATTTGAAAAAAACAAGCACAACATCATCTCCGTTGGAAGGGGGAAAGTATGTGTTATTCATTTGTGATTACAGTTGTATGGATAGGTTTCAATCCAAATGTATTAGAGAGAAAACAATCAGTTTTAGTCATCTATGAATACAGTATTTCATTTTTTGAAGTGATTTTAATCATTTGTAAATATATCATTATTATATATATGTATATTAAAGTTGTGGAAGAAAGGAATAGTAAACTTGGGATACTTTGTCCAGGTTTGGTCCCTTAATTTACATATCCGGTCCCTGTACTTCTTTAATTAATTTATTCATGTCCTTTTGTTTGTGTTCCATTCAACTCCCCATTTTTTTGGCAGAATTGGTCCCTGTATTATTGTTGGGTTTGTGTTCCATTCAACTTCCCATTTTTTTGGCAGAATTGGTCCCTGTATTATTGTTGGCAGTTAGGAATACTAAATTTGGATGTTTTTTGGCAACTTTGGTCATTATTCTTTACCCATTTTGACACTTTTGGTCCTTGCAATCAATATTTTTACACTTTTTTGGAACCTTTTAATATTTAAAGTTTGGCCACAAAACTTTAACGGTTTGACAACTTTGATCCATTTTCTAAAAAGTTGCTAATTCCTACCCCTTTAATTCTTTAGCCATTTTCACACTTCTGGTCCTTGCAGTCAAAACTTTTACATTTTTTTTCCGGGGCAAAGCCCGGACTTTTCATCCTTGCACTTTCTATGTCTGTCATATTTATCAATTCGGAAACAACATTGAAAACTTCTGGCCCCCGCGTAGCGGGGGTAACCTTTCTAGTTATCAATATAAATGTATGAATTCAATTTTTGTATATTCATTTATGAATATAATTGTGTAAATATATGAATTCACCTTTTGGTATATTCATTTATTAATATTACTAATTATGAATATAACTATGTAAATATATGAATCCACATTTTGGCATATTCATTTATAAAGATTACAGTCTTTGAATTCACTTCGGGTTTACTTGATGATTGTGTCTTGCATTCTTTTGGTGATGTTTTTCTTCTTTAGTTTACTAAATATGGTGTAAAACCCTTTACTTTCACTAGATCTTGATGAAACCTCGTTGATATGCTTTGATTTCGTTAGTAGGATTAACTGCATTTGGTTTTTACGTGTGTTCGATTGATTGCTTTACCTTTCATGTTAAAGTTATGATTTTTATTGTTTACTGTTTAGTATTATTTGGGTTAGATGACCATTATATCTTGATGTACTTAAATCATATGAATCTATGATCATTAGGTTTGTATGACTAGGACTTTGAACATAAGCCTAGGGTTAGATAATATTAATCGGTGATTTTGATTGTATTAGAGAGCATTAGATATCCATGACATGCTTAGATTGATTGTCATGATCATTGACAAGAAATCAGTAAATCATATAGTTCATAGTTCGAATATATTTAATTAATTATGTGTTCACTAATTGCATGGTCATTGTGTTAGTTTTTCATTAATTATAAGTACTAGGAAATCCGATAAAGATAACTAGTCATATTACAATTCGGTAATCAATTTATTAATCAATTGCACTTCTAAAAAAATCAAACATAAAAACTGGGGGATTCGTATTCTAGTGGAAGTACTTCTTATCTATTGTTTCCATTTAGTTATTTCGTTTCGTTGATTAATATATATATATATATATATATATATATATATATATATATATATATATTAAAGAAGGGCACCCCTTAGGAACAGTAAAGTTCCTAAGATTTTGGCATATTTGGTCCCCTATTTTTTCTGTTTTAGACATTATTTTCAGGGTTGCCACTTTAGCCCTTACAATTTCATTCTTTTTTATTTTCGATTTACTATATGTGATACGTGTCTTCTTCTTTTTATTCACCGTTTTATTCTCCAATGACATCCATCCAGATATGCACCACCTTCAATCATATTCTCTGTCTATCATCTCATCTCTCTCTCTCTCTCTCTCGATCAAACTTCATTCGCTACAAGCAGATGACGTTCTTTTCTTGCCTATCTCTCATTGGAAACGAAGCATCATGTTCCTTCCACCACCTCTTCGTACATTACTCTAGATGATGTGTGTGAAATGCACTAGTTGTAATCCTACTAACTTAGACACAAAATAAACACACGAAAGGCAGTGTACCTATCGATTAGTAATATAGTTCAAGCAAGTAGGGTATCGAACACAGGGAACGATAAACAATTAAAATAAATGCTAATATTATCTAAATAAAACAAGTAATATTAAGGGGGATTTCTCTAGTTTTGCAAGACTATAAACTAAGTAATCAAATAACACTCAAACAAAAGACAATTAACAACTAAGAGAACAAAAGACAACTAGATTCAATAAGATAAAGAGACTTATGTTTAGATTTGATTCACTTATTCCTATGGTTGATTTCGTGGCAAGTGCAATTGATTAATATATCAATGGTTACCGATTTCTAATGTGATTAGGTTCATGTTCACTATTACTAATCCTTTAGCAAACAAGTTAATTCAAGCAGTGATCAAGTGATTAAAC